CCCAGGAGTTCTGGCCCTAACAGGTACGTTTTTGGGGTATGTAGCCTAGGCCTTTGGCCGTAGGGAATAATGTCACTGACAGCCGTCTAACGTCCCAGGGGCAACTCCCATGACAATATGGTAGAGTTGGTACTTAGTGCTCGCCATGGTTTCTGGCATGCACTCCCCTCAGCATGGTGGCGTGGGTATACCGTTCCCCATAGCGACCCCTAGAGGAAGCAGTTCGAAGTTCCCATGAAAGGGAACGTCTCAGGTTACTTATGTAACCATGGTTCCCCGAGTAGGGAACGAGACACTGCGTCCTCTAGGTTTCTTGCCATGCTTCGGACGCAAGCTTCAGACGAAGAAGTGGATGATGTGTTCTCCCAGCGTCTATTTATACTATAGTCGCACTGGTAGTGACATCATGGCTGTCGCTGGCCAATGTGTTGTTGGTGTTTTTTCAATGTATGCTTCAGACACGGGTCATGACGAGGCGTTCCCATGCGCAGTATCTCGTTCCCTACTCAGGGAACCATGGTTACATAAGTAACCTGAGACGATTTATAACTTCTGGATGAAAATGAAGAAATAATTAAAAATGAATTAATACAAATGTAATGATGTGAGATCTGATGAGTTTGTGTGCATGTGAGCGTCAGAAAGAGGATTTACAGAGAGTCTCTCTATCGTTGAAAATCACACAGAGACACTGAGGAATTAAACTGAAAAGTCCTAAATCCAGCACAGAGGGGTTCAGTGAATGTGGTGCTGAATGTGTGTAAGTGTGTGAGTGTGTGTGTGTCAGAGACGCTGTAGAAGGACAGAGAGCCGGCCGACGCGTCCAGATACACTCCTACTCTGTTAAAGGATGAACAGACAGTAGGTATAGGAGTGAGGTTCTTATTGTGCCAGACAGTGAATCTGTTATTAGAGCAGATCAGACTCCAGGATTTGTCATTGAATCCAAACTCACAGTCTCTCCCTCCTTTCCTGTTGATTCCTTTATATGACACTGATATTTCAGCCTTATATCCGCTCCATTCAGCCTCCCAGTAACAGCGTCCAGTCAGACTCTCAACACTCAGAACCTGAGGAACATCATCAAATCTCTCTGGATGATCAGGATACGGCTGATGATCTTCCACACGTGTGATCTTCCTGTTCTCATCAGACAGAATTAGTTCAGTGTGTGCTGTGTTTGGATCCAGTGTGAGATCACAGGCATCTGAACACAAGAAGAGAGAAACATCAAGAACAACACAACAGTGAAGATGTCTGTGTGTGTTTACAGCTTTGCCTGTATTTGCAAAGTTCAAACTGTCCTCACTATTCACAAATGTCCTCACTATTCACACATATCCTTTCTATTCAGATCAGGCCTTTTCTTTCAGAACATGCAACACAACTCCTTGTTCAAGCTCTTGTTCTGTCCAGGCTGGACTATTGCAATGCTCTCTTGTCAGGTCTTCCAGCCACTTCTATCAAACCTCTACAATTAATCCAAAATGCTGCTGCAAGATTAATCTTTAATGAGCCGAAAAGAACACGTCACACCTCTGTTCATCAACTTGCACTGGCTACCAGTAGCTGTTCGAATTAAATTCAAGGCATTAATATTTGCCTACAAAACCACCACTGGCTCTGCACCCATTTACCTAAATTCATTACTTCAGAAATATGTTCCCTCTAGAAGCTTGCGTTCTGCAAGTGAACGGCGTATTATTGTGCCATCTCAAATAGGCACAAAATCACTTTCACAGACTTTTTCATTAACTGTTCCCTCCTGGTGGAATGACCTGCCCAACTCAATCCGAGCAGCTGAGTCCTTAACCATCTTCAAGAAACGACTAGAAACACATCTGTTCCACCTTTATTTGACCCTCTAACTCTAACACTTTCTATTCTATTTTAATTCTACTTCTATCTATATTTATCTTCTATATTTATATTTAACATTTTTTTTAAACAACAAAAAACAAACAAACACTAGCTTTCTATTTTTTCTATTATATCTACTTGTTTTTGTTTGTGTGTGTGTATATTACATATATATATATATATATATATATATATATATATATATATATATTATATATACACACCTTGCTACGTGTACTGCGTTAGGCTAACTGAGACTTGTCATTTGCACTTATATATTGTTGCTCTTTTGTTAGTTTTGACTGCTTTTATTGTCCTCATCTGTATCATCTCAGTTAGCTTTTATTATGTTTCACACATGTACAGTAAGGTGAATTTAATGTTTCTGATGTTTCAGTATGGATGAGAAGCTTTTGGAAAACACTTGAAGACTCTAGTGTGGACAGAGCATTTAGAAATGAAAATTACATTTTCAAATGGATCTGAATTAATAGTCATGTGACAAAACATGTCATTACCATGCCATTACCAAAATAAATATAAAATCCTAAAGTATTAAAAGAAAGATATTTCCACGTGAATCTAAAGCTGAATCCACATATTACTGTTCTGTTTCCAGTATGCAGTGATACGCTACTGAAATCATCTCTGAGAGCAAAGGAGCCCCTGCTGGTGACTGGCACTCATAAACTGGAAAAATCATGTTTCTCTTTAAATCTAGTGTTTTGCACAGGGTTCTGTGATGTTTGTTTAGGGTATAGAAGATGACCTTGCCAACAAAGACTTCTGGATATACGTAAACTTCTGTATCGCAGTATCACTGAACCCATTATTCTGTACTGTGTCACTTGCAATTTTACCATGCTCTCTTGCACTAACAGAAATAAGCTCTTTAAAATCCCCAATACCTCCTCAAAAATAATTGCTTTTTTATTGCTAATTTGTCAGCTCTTGCTGATACTGCCATTATTCACAGAGCAAATACTATAATAAAAAAAAACTCTAGCCATCCTCTCAACTCATGTTTCATCATTCTCCCTTCAGGTCGCAGATACAGACAGCTACCTCAAAAAAAGCACGCTTTGGGAAAAGGTTTGTACCCTCGGCCATTAGAGTGTTAAATTCACAGAAACCGTGGAGTGTGTAATTTAAAAGCTATACTGTTCTGTTGCTGCTTCCATCTCCGGGCAATATACGTGTAAGTGTGTAAATTTATATTCGATGCAGGACACGTGTATCATGTGCACTGATATTGTTTCTGGTGTAAATGTGTGTATTTTTGTATTTGGTGGAAAACATGTGCATTATATGTATTATAGTTCCTGGTACAGTCTGTGAAAACAAATTTCCTCTTCGGAGGACAATAAAGAATGAATCTGAATCTGAATCCTTGATGCTTATTTGAAAACTACATGGTCTGCGTGTTGGAGCAGGGTTGGAACAAAACTCTGCATGGCTCCGGCCCTCCAGGAATTGAATTTGACACCCCTGGTCTATGAAATGAGCTCAGTGATACAGTCAAACAACAATCTGTGTGTGTGTGTGTGTTTCTGGACCTACATTTTCGTAGTCCTGCTGTCATCATCTTCTCTCCTCCATGATCCACACTATAAACACACACGAATGAAGATCTGCATCAATCACACACACGTTCAGTATGTCAGTATTAGTGTTTGACATACTTGAGGATCTGCAGTTTATAGTTTGGATCCTGCAGTTTGTGTTTGAGCAGCTGGACTCCTGATTGTCCTGGGTGATTGTAGCTCAGATCCAGCTCTCTCAGGTGTGAGGGGTTTAAACTCAGAACTGAAGACAAATAGCCACAGCCTTTCTCTGTCACCATACAGCCAGACAACCTACAGACACACAGAAAGATCATCTACAGACACACAGATCAACTACAGCCACACACAGATCAACTACAGCCACACACAGTCAGATCATCTACAGACACACAGACACACAATCAGATCAGTTACAGACACACAGTCAGATCAGTTACAGACACAGTCAGATCATCTACAGACACACAGTCAGATCATCTACAGACACACACACAGTCAGATCATCTACAGACACACACACACACACACACACACACAGTCAGATCAACTACAGACACACACACACACAGTCAGATCATCTACAGTCACACACAGATCATCTACAGACACACACACACACACACACACACACACACACAGTCAGATCATCTACAGACACACACACACACACACACACACACAAAGTCAGATCATCTACAGTCACACACACATTCAGATCATTTACAGACAGTCAGATCATCTACAGACACACACACACAGTCAGATCATCTACAGACCTACAGACACACACACACACACACACACACACACACACACACACACAATCAGATAATCTACAGACACAAAGTCACATCATCTACAGACACACATAGTCAGATCATCTACAGATACACAAAGTCAGATCATCTACAGACACACACACCCAGATCATCTACACACACACACACACACACACACACACACACACACACACAGTCAGATCATTTACAGACACAGACATTCAGATCATTTACAGACAGACAGTCAGATCATCTACAGACACACACACACACACTCAGATCATCTACAGACAC